GGGTTGGTTTAGGGTTGTTGTTGACTTTTTTTTAATAACTAGGGGGGGGTGGGGTTTGGTGTTTGTAAAGAATTTGGAAAAAGTATTTTAATATAAAAACAGGGGGCGAACCAGGGGGGGGGCCCCTGGGGGCCCGGGCCCCCCCTTTTTGTTAAACCCAACCCGCGCCCCAAGGGCCAAAAAAATTTTTTTGGGGACCGCCCCCCCCCCCCCCCTTATCTCAAGGTCTGGATCCAGCACTGAAAAATAATGTAGTTTCTCTTGCTAATTAATTAATCTTTGCTACGTGGGAGTCTTGTAACAAAAGTGGAAATTAATTTACAGACTCATTGAAACAGACACCCAGCAGTATAAGAGCCAATCTAGCCTGAAATTTTGTAAAGGTTCTTGTTTGGAAGGCAAGCAATAATTTTTTATTATTGATTAGAAAACAAAACTGAGGCTGTAGGCATTGCTGAGATAGAATTTCAGGTAACTGTGTGACAGGTATTAAACCCTTTGACTTCATCTTTAAACTGTTTCGGACTTTCCAAAATGTATCAGCCCTTATGCACTAGTCAATTGCATTCCCCACCCCCATGGATAGTGGGGATTCTACAGAGCAATAGTGGGGCAAATACATTGATTTTACATTTATTACTTGCACTGCCCCATGGGAAATTACCAAAACCTTACAGCTACACACATCTATCCCCGAGGTGGGGAGCCAGTTGACTATCATCAATGACGTCAAGCCTTCATGAAGGCTGTAACCTGGCTAACTTTCGAGATAAACTAGCAGAGTTTGAAAAGCCATTTCCTCATGCAAAAATTAACAATTTGGATAGGATAAACTGGTTATATTCGAATTTTAGCATAATTTATTATGGCTAATACTGGCGAAAAGACGTGGATCACGGAGATCTGTCCTGCTGTAACTGACCTTACTGAGATCCTCAATAGTTTGCCCCATGATCCTTTACTGACAGCTACTCAACTTTCTCTGGGCTATGCTTTTTTTGATATGGCTGTTTCGGTCCTACCATTACTAACTGATGCAACAAATTTAAATAAAATACAAATGCACAGACCCATGAACACAATGTCTCTCCACTGTTTTTATGTGTTTGTCCAAATAGGCATATGAAGTGGGCAACACTAAGACCATTACATGAATCTCTGTCATATGTTGATGAACTCATTTTAATCAGTATCTGAAAATTTTTTAAATGCGTCAGTTCATATATGGCTTTTTTTGTTTTGTATGGAGGAGACATACGATGCATGACTCAATTCAAATATTTGATCAGTTAAAGCGAGTCATTTGTTAAACTTGAATAGCGGTTTGTTGACAGACAGCTTATTAGGGACGGGTAATTACCACGTGAATCTGTCCCTAGGGCCTGGGTGAATCCTTTAAATTACGAGGATACCTTTGTAATTTTCCCCACCATTCTCCGTGGGTTTTGGGGGTCGTGGTTGCAGTTGACTAGTGCCTTATCCGTTCCATTTAGTATCATTACAACAACAACGTTAAAAAAGAAAAAAGACCTTGAACAGCGTATCCCAGTAGGAATTGGCCGCGTTTTGTCATATCCAGGGGCAGGCAATGTATAACTTAATAGCGGAGCTCCCGCGCGCGCGAAGCGCGCGCGCAGCGGAGCACCATGGGTAAGAAAATTTGGTAAACCATCCATTCGAGAAAATTTGGTTATGACGTAGCGTACGCCCGCCCGCCCGCTCGCCCGCCCACCCGTACACACACTTCATGTAAGCCGATGTCAAATGTCACAATAGATCTTGCACAACTTGACTAGCCTCTTAGTTATGTAAGCCATCCGTATGAGTACGATTAGATTGACAGCTGTTAAAATCAGACATCCGCTGACAATTATCACATGACCAGCTCGCGGGCTCATATAAAAGACCAGTCGTTTTGCCCCTATATATAAGCTGATACAATATGTCACACTTACCAATTCAACATAAAAACGAAACTACGCCGGGCAAGGCTGTCAGTTGGCTGACAGTCGTTTAAAGTTACATTGGCAAGCCAATGGCAAGCCAAATTAAGGTCAATTGACGGCTGTCAAAATGGGACATGTGCAGACCACTATCAGAAAACTAATAACGTGGGCTCAGGTTCGCTCAGGTACACGATCTGGCATTTTCCACTACATGCCGGACGGATATGTCCTACTCACACTCGTAGTCTGTTAATTCGAATATTCGCCATTCTAATGAAGGTTAATTGACCAATTGGCCAATTCCATGCAAAATGAACGGGCAAGGGCCAATTCCATGCAAAACACGTAAACTCACAATCAGCAAAGGTTTTTAATATTACGAAACCATAAAACAGTAAATTCCTACAAAGAACGAAAAAATAATAGTTACAATACAGAAAAAACCACTTAAAGGCGACTGCAAAATGAAATTAATGAAAAAACGATGAAAACGAAGCTGCTTACCAAATGCTGAGAATAACAGAGTCGGTGGTCAGGGCCACCGAGGAAAGAGATAATCTATTTCAACGAATGATGTTACATTAATAGACACGTAAAAACTGGCAATAAATAGGACCGAGATAACAAACTATAACGAAATTTACATACAGCACGTATCAAAGGAGCGTAATTAACAAAATACCGGAGAGCGAAAAGTAAAAGAATGCACGATAACAAGAAAGTGAGAAAACGAAAAACAAAAGGAAAAAATTTGCCCCAACATCCTGGGGGGTTTGGCTGAATTTAACTGATTCAGCAAAATAAATACGAGGAAAATTTAAAACTAAGAGTCCACCAATTAGAACCTGGTCATTTGAATCAGTCTCTAAAACTCTCAAGTTTCGATAAACACAGTTTTAGGCAGCTTCCTCCAGCAAACATAGCTTAGAAATTGGTCTAGTTAGAGTAGAGTTCTTCGTCTTAATTTCTGCCACACGGACTTTGCCGTCTCGTCCGGGAAAGGTCTTGATAACACGGCCAAGGAGCCATCGTCCTCGCGGGGAGTTGTTATCCACAACAAGAACTACATCTCCGATCTTT